CTACTCTTCGAATTCATTTCTTTACATTTTTGTCCTTTTCCTTTGATTTTGGCATTCTACGACATTGGTATCGTTTCTAAATGTTTTCCTTGCAACTTATGGTATATTTTTGCTCATTTAGCAAATGTTTTGCACGATTTACAGTATGGTTGAAAACTTTTTTTTTTTGGAAACGGCCGAAAATTCATGCAATCCATATAATCAAATCAACATGGCCTTACCATGTTGCGGAGACAGCCAGCCTCCTCACGGATTGTCTCCTCAATGCTGCCAGTTCCCACCTTCATACCTAGATTCTTCAGGACGGCGCCGGCAAACCTCTTTCTCTGTTTGAACTCGGGCCCCCAGCGTGCAAGACCTAGGTCTACAGGAGAAAATAATTAACGTATATAAGTTATGTAAATTTGCTCCAGTATGCTGGTGTCACAGCGATTTCGCCCCCCAGTGATTTCGCCCTCCAGTGGGGGTGAGATTGCCTGGAGCGAGTCGCCCCGCCTCCGTAAATCTCGCCCCCCCCTCCCACCCCTTAGTTAGTCTACTCTTTTACACCGTACCACATGTGTGGCAGGTACACAAATCTGATTAACAATTCTAACGATATTATATCAGGTTCAGTTGAAGCAAGAAAGCAACCTCCTTGGTTGAAATATTCTCTCTTTCTATGCTCAACAGCATAGGCATCTCAACAACGCAGGATTTGGGCTGATCATTAGTAAAATAGTCTTGAGAGTGTATACATGCAACATAATTCCCCAAATACAACGAAATACTACGATTAGATTATTTAAAGAAATTTGTGTGCTTGGACGTGCTTAAACGGAAGTTTTTTGTAGGAAATAACAGCTTTTTGGTGTGGGGCAAAATCGCTAAAGGGGGGCGAGGTGGGGGGGGGGGGGGGCGAAATCACTAGCGGGAAGGGCAAATCGCTACAGATTTCGCCCCGGGGAGGACAAAATCACTGGGCCGGGGGCGAGATCGCTGTGACACCGACACGACTGCCATTGTATGCCGGACCCACTTACCATCGCCGCACCTTTTGGGAAAGAAAGACATCTTGCCATGAACTATCCTCTGCTTCCTCGCAACAAAAATATCTTAGCAATGCTAACAGCTTGGAAGTGCTTGAAAGAACTTCTTTGCCACTATGGATAAGAAAAATGATTAGGGAAGAAATAGTTACCTTTTCCGCCACCAGACAGAACATCAAACAAGCAATTTGCCGGCCTGGAGGCGAACAGCTCGGACCTGTCCACGAGCGCGTCCTTGACGGCAGCGTAGCCGTTCAGAACCACCACATCTTCCATCCCCATCCTGACGGTGAAGACGTCCCCGCACTACCGCCTCCACGCCGTCAGCTTGAGGTGAGGCGCTCGGCCCAAGGCGAGGAGGTGCCCGAAAACAGGCACTCGTCCTGCCGGGTAGGGAGGCAGGTTTCTGCGGCGCTTCAAGAGGAAACACGCCAGGATAAAGGCCGTACAGAAGACGAGAAAAGACTGAAGAGTCGGCCCAGAGATCTGCAAAATCTCCCGGACGGACTCAGTTATCCAGTCGACGATGGCGGCCATGTTCGCAAAGAATGCAAAAACAGGCGCATTTTGTTTAGGAAAATGACCCGAAGAGGCCGTCTGACGAAATGTGTGATTACACCGGCACAACCGTGTCTGTCTGGTGTGTTTAATGAGTATCTCTCCTGTGCACTTTTTGACTTGTGTGGTCTGAAATGTACCTTCGTGCATTTGTGTCACCCCAGTTTTGTTGTCCCATAAATCGAGGGAGTCACAGGAAGAACCAAGGGTTTGTCTCTAGATCTGCTCTAGTAATACTTTGCAACTGCTACGTTGCCCCTGACCCCAATCCCATGGCTTTGCTTTGTTGGAAAGAAGGAATTTTGCCCTGAAGGTTGACGCACTGTCAACAGTGCAGTAGACAAAGCAGTTAACGATGCGAATATATGAAATATGACCTGCACGCTCTCACACAGTGTAACCTAAGAAATGTCGGTGCCTTTGTAAATGCACCTGAAAGGTTATCAACACGAAGGAAAAGGGTAAACAATGTCCAAACATTTTGGTTAATTTGGGAGCTTTAAAACAAGACTTGGAACAAGTAATCACAAAGGTGAGAATTGTGATGCACTAGACATAGAAGAAGGAAGATCAAGAAACTCTCTGTGAATCAAAGAGTTTGTCAGTTATGTCCAGAACTTGCAACTTGCTTTGCAAATCTTTCTAGTTGTAAGGTCACACCAAGTAAATTTTATAGATGACGTCCGCGCGCGCATTGATTTTGGCCTGTTCCTAGAAAAAAACCCAAGAAATTCTGCTCCCTGTAACTATGTACTATGACCAAAGAGTGACGACAGTGCCGCAATTTTATGCTTTGTTTCTGCAGGCCTGCAAAATTGTGATGAAAGAAACAGGACAGGACGACAACTGCTGTTCCACCTGATTTATTGCTGTTTTGACGATGAATAAAAGACTTCTTGCTTGTTACACTGTGTCACCTCATTCAATTTGTGTCCTAACATTTGTCGTCTCTTAGTATATTTCTAATCTGGACATCTTGTTTTTTAGGGCCCTTCTTGTTTTTTTTTTCGCCCTCTCGCATTAGATTTAGGGTCTCCAAAGGACGTCATCCATAAAATTTACTTGGTGTGGCCTAATATATCTTTTTTTACAGAGCCGCCGCAGCACGGTTGAGTCTGAACAGTGAGTTTCGTGTTGGCTGGTTGGGAAATCCTCCACAGAAAAGTACATGTCTGTCAAAGGGACGGCGTTGTCGGGCTGGAGACATCGTTGGTCACCTGAAGACGTGCTCTCTCGTGGGCAACAGTGGGATCCTTCTGGGTAGCAACTGTGGTCACGAAATTGACTCCAAAGATTTCGTCGTACGAATGGACCACCCGGCCGTCTTGGGGTTCGAAACCGACGTTGGTGGTCGGACCAACATGACTGTTGTGAGTCAGCATTAGCAAACTTCCAATCGGGTGGACAAGTCTTCAAAAATGAGGAATCGGAGTAAGGATGTGTACGAAAGTCGAATTCGTGGTATCAAAGGAACAATTCTGATGGTCGACAGTTCGTCAAGAAGCCAACTCAGAGGGGCACTCACGCGATACAATTTGTCGTTTACGCTCTTGAACACCAAGTCGAGAATCATCGGAATGATTAAAACCAAAAGGAGTGTTAACTTGTGAGTAACTTCATGATTTGATCTGATATGTATCATAACGTGCTCAAATTTGACTCAATTTTAACTCAAATTTGATTCGATTAAGTATAAAACAAGTAAAATCTGAGATTTTATACCTCCGGGCTTTTTATTGTATATTTTTCCATGTTGTTACCTTCGCCAAGAAGGTTATGTTTTCAGTAGCGTTTGTGTGCGTGTGTGTTTGTGTGTGGTTTAGCAAGATAGCTCGAGAAGCAGTGGATGGATTGTCATGAAACTTGGTAGGTGGGTAGCTAGAAATGATGAGATTTTGGCCCCCGCCTGGCGGCTTTCCTAGGTACTGCAGCTGAACTTCCGGTTTTGATATCTCATGTTCTGGACATGCTAGGGTCACGAATTTTGGTTGGTAGATAGCTCTTGGGGTAGGGAAGAAGTGACATGAGTTTGGGTCTCCTAGCTCCTTGTTCGGGAACTGCAGGAGCATTTGTTAAAAAAAAAATTGAAGGACGATAACTCAAGAACCGGTTGACGTATTGTCGTGATTTTTGGTATGTAGGTAGTTGAAGTGATGCTTGACATAATCAAATGGCAATTATGGAAATCAGGAGCTAATTTGCATAATTAATGAGGAAATTCTATAAATCTGCTTTGGAACTATGAAACACTTGTGGCATCTACTTGAGAACGAGAAAAACATCTGAGGATGTAGATTATGTAAATGAGGACCTAATTTGCATGATTAATGGCAAATTTTTGTAATTCCATAGTTGTAACTGCTGCACCCCGAATTTCATACTTGCCACATTTGGAAGTTAAGTGAAGGTGAACATCAATAAACATAATTTATTCAAATCATGACCTCATTTGCATAATTTATGAGGAAGTGCTATAATAGCCTTTTTGTTATGCCTGTCATTTGTTAAGGCTGTCATTGGATGGAGAATATGATCAACTGATATAATCCATGCAAATGAGGCTCTTATTTACAAAATTAATGATTAAAATTGTATAATTCGTCACCCGCAAGGGTTAACATCACTTGGTGAAGGTGTGAGATCGTGGAACTCTTGTTTGTTATGTATAGTTGATGGTGTTGAATTTTATGTGTTAGATTTAGCGTTTCTGGTTGTGTTAATACACTTATACAGGTCAACATTTTCATCTGCAGCCCATACCATGTACCCACGGTAAAAACGCATGTCGAGAACGTCTGAGACAGTATACCACGGTATTTGTAAGTTAAGAAGTCGTAATATACGCCGAAAACATCCAAGATTGCGCAAGAGGGCGTTGACCCCTGACCCATTGGCCCACCGGAAGTTGCGCTGGCAGCCAGCCCGGCGCCCCGCGCGACCATTTTCACACTCTAAGGGGTGTCCGAGACACGAAATACAAAATATTCTTACGCCCCAAAACACATATACAATAAAAACAAAAAAACCTGCACCATCTACAGCCCATTAGCAGAACATACACCGAGTCCCGTCTACCCCAACGCGAGATACAACTGCGATAATATTTCTTTCCTCGATACCTTACACCCCCTCTTTGAAAACCGAACCAGATGTGGACGACACCCACGATACACGCCGAAAATCAAAAGACAAAACCACTTTCACACTCAAAGGGGTGTCCATACGCTGTCAAAACGCATCATTTTCACGCACTAAAACACACATACTAAAAAAGCAAAACAACTTGCACCATCTACAACAATACAACAATAGCAAAACGTATACCAAGTCCCAGACATATCCGTCCACCCAAACGCGAGAAACGGCTGCGAACGTAAAAAGCTTCGTCTCCCACAAAACCCGTCCGCGCAGGGATACATCCCTACCCGGAGGTAATTATTACAGTGTTGTACAAAGCAGCTTGTTATTTTGACTAATGTAGTAGAAAATAACATTCACTTCATCCAGCTTCGTCCCTTTGCGACTATGATGCTACATGGTTGTACACACTCACATACCCTTCACCAGCCTGTATTTATCCATGACTTGTAGTACACAACTTTGGTGTGGTTACAGCACCACAATATACTTTTCCCTATTCCAAACCATACACAGGTACACCCATAGATATTGTCTATCTAGAATCATTTAGTATTATACAATTTTGTCATTCAGAATTCTTCTTACATTATTGCGTATAGCTTCTTTTTCTTTTGTTACGTACAATATAAAAGATAAGAAAATGGAAAAAAAGTTCTCAATCTTGCTGCAACATATTGTTGGCCACACTTTTTATCTACATTCAACATTGTTCCGCTATTTTTCGATGGCAATATAAGTAAGGCTAGAACATATTACAATAGTACTGTATCTACAAGGTGATAACTCTCTCTCTCTCTCTAATTCTCTCTAGGATTGATTCCGCTTACTACATTTAAAGAATCACTGCATGAAATTTGAGCTCTAAGGCCAAGTTAAAGCATGCGTAAAGGCTCTCTTTTTTCACTCAATTGGAAAAAAAGGATTCCGAACCTTCACCCATGATTTAATGTATGATTAAAGATAAGGTTTTTTTGCAGTGAATAACCAGAGAAATTACTTTGAAAACCTAGTTTTGCCAGCCTGAAATTGCATTGGATGACTTTAATTTTTTTTTATATTCCAACATCTAATCACAAGACGTGGTGACGGCACACTCAAGTTTTTTTCAACTTATATTAATGCCGCCACCAACACAGGGGACAATACAACACTCATTTTCACTAGAGCGAAGTGAGGAAAGTCGTGTAAAGTGCCTTTCCCAAGGGCACAAGATCGGTGGTATGTCAGGACTCGAACCCGGGACATCTTGATTCCGAGTCGAGCACTCTACCGCTACGCCACAGACCCTACAGACTTTAATTGACGACTTGTATATGGATGTCGCAGCAGACGAGCCCAAACTCGGTCTGCCCCTGGCAGGTGTAGCAGCCGTGGTTGTCCCGCGTCACGTTCTTGATGTACAGGGAGTGGAACTCGTCTCCGTCGCTGGTCTGCTCGTACAGGTCCGTGTTCGGTAACGGCTGGTCCTCGTACAGCCAACGTACGTCTCCGGCTGTTAGAGTGGGAGGAGATAGTGTTTATATGTGAATAAAACACTTGGTTGTGTAAAGAGTATCCTTACTCAGTAACTTACCAACCTGATGAAACTTTTCACGGACGAGGTAGTATTTAGGCTTTAGTTAGGCCATGTTGATTTGATTACTTAGATGACACCCACCCAAATTGTACAAAGCAGCTGTAAAATGGGCAAATATATGATTGCGACATAGATTAAACTAGAGAAGTAACATTTGCCAAGCAAAGGCATAATCGGACATGGTCTGCCCTGTTAATTTTTACTCAAATTCACATACGTACATGTACATGTACTACTATGGTGACAGGAGTAGAGCAGACCATGAAATTGCAACATTATGTAACCCAACACCAGTCACCATGGTGACAGACGTCAACAAATTATGTCATTGGCCAGGTCAGAGGTTAGTGTTTGGAACAGAAGAGGAGGAAGAAACTGAGTAAAAACAATATGTTTTCCTTCGGTAAATATAAAAACGATGCTAATGTCGTACAATGCCAAATTCGATTCCAAAGGAAAAGAAGAAAATGGAAAAAAAAAGAAAAATGAAGAGTCTATTATTCGTCACACCGTGCCCTGTGTGTTTAGTCATTTGTTCAACCTTCACAAAGATCTCACAAATAAAAAAAAATAAAAAGTTATAAGGAAGATAGTAACGACTGAAGTTCAATACTGTACCATCTCCGAAGATCTCGATGATGACAGGTTGACCTCTTTTGACCTGGATGACGCTGCCTGACTGAGCTTGGAATGGATGAGGCTCTATGATTGGTTCAGGTTCACTGACGGTGACTTCCGTTTCCGGTAGTGTACTAGTGGACCTACTTGATCCCATAGTTACTGCCATGTCAGTCCCTCCCACACCTCCCGGGTCTGAACCCATGTCCACTCCGGAGTTATTTGTGCTTGCTGTGGTCAAAGTTGTATATTGCTTCTCCATTCTGAAAGAAAAATTAGTGATTATGAAACAAGTTTAAACTGTAATTTCCAACACAAGAAAATGGACTCACCCAAATTTTCGACTGTACAATTATTTGTCAAGGAATGAACAGAATGGAGTTGTACAGCCGAAAATTCGGGTGAGTCCAATTTCTTGTGTTGGAAATAACAGTTTAAACTTGTTTCATAATGATTTCTACCAACACAGTCAGTATTGGCAAGAAAATATTTTGAACATTGTTTTATATTCATGAGAAGCTCAAATCGTCATTTCATTGAAATTTTCATTGAAATAATGAAGCAAGAGGAAAGAACCAGACAAAATTTATAGTAAAGATAAAATATGCATAATCTAAAGTTCTAATAAATCTATACACACATTCTTACACATACACGGTACAAAATGCAAACGCTAAAGTGAGAGTGGGTATATGGGTAGAGTATCAGGCAAAAAATATAACGCCATTTCGTAATGCTGAACATCGAATTCATAACTATTAGGCCATGTTGATTTGATTATATGGATGATATCCGCGCGCGCATGAATTTTCGGCCGTCTCCAAAAAAAAAAAGAAAGTTTTCAACCAAACTGTAAATCATACAAAATAGTTGCAAAATGAGCAAATATATACCGTAAGTTTACAAAAAATGGAAAACGATTCCAATGTCATAGAATGCCAAAATCAAACGAAAAAGACGAAAATGTAAAGAAATGAATTTGAATACTAGATTATTCGCCATACCATACTCTGTGTCATTTGCTCAATCTTCAAAACCACGTAGATATTATAATGAAAGCAACTTTTTTTTTGCCAAACTTTTTTTATTCGCACGCTCGCATCAGTTTTGGGGTTTCCAGAGGATGTCATCCATATTAATCAAATCAATATGGCCTAATGTCAACGTCATAACTCACGTGACAGTGGACATGACGTTGGTGACGTTGGTGACGTTAGTGACGTTGGTCATGTTGGTGAAGGTGACGTCAGAGTGAGTCGTCTGAGTTTTTATCCCATGATCCTCCGCGCCATGGTTCGTGTCGCCCGACGGTTCTACAGGACGCCCCGTACTGAGGAGAGCCGAGGTTTCTGTCACTCCGGCAGGCGCCACGTCTACAAACAACAAACACAAGTTTTAAAAACAACTGCAAAAGTTACTTAGGCCACAGCAAGTAATTTTTATGGATGACATCAGCGCGCGCATTGATTTTCGCCTGATTTTGGAAAAAAAACAAGAAATTTTATTGCCTTTTGACAGTGGTCAACATGCTGAAAATGGGCAAAATGGCATGCCTTGCCATGCTGGAACGTGTATGGCAGATAAACATGAAGAAAGGAGACAGGACAAGGCTCTGATTTATTTGTTTTGACTTTTACTTTGATGCAGTGATGAATTTCATTCCTTTCATATGTTCCTACTGAATCAAAACCATTTGTACAATGAAAACATTAAACTATCATAGTTGACAGTAAAGTTAGCACAGTATAGGTATCATTTCTTGTTTAACAGGGTTTATGATGTCAAAATTGGAAAATATAGGAATGTTGTTTTTTTTGGCCCGCCTTGTTTTTTTTCGCCCTCTCGCATTAGATTTGGAGTCGGCGGAGGATGTCATCCATAAAATTTACTTACTGTGGCCTTACGTACGTACATCGACACTAGCTATCTAGTGGTGAATGTCGAGTGCTCGAGTCGAGATCAGTACTGACACTAGTCGAGTCAGTTGAGTTGAGTTTACTGGAAAACGAGTGCCGAGACAAGAATAAATTCTGGAATTTCAGTCCTGACGGAGATTCAGCACTGGATGAAAGCCATTCAATGCTAGAATTCCTGTGCGGAGTTTTCTTCCGCACAGGGCCCCGAGTGCCGACGCCACTTTCCCCGTGAGTTCCGCACTGGGCGGCCAGTGACGAACCCGTTACCTCGGTGCCCTTGCAACACAACTTCGGAAGGCCCTCTATTGTCTGATTGAAATCTATCGTCTGATTGAATCTATCTTGGTGTTGAGACGATGAGAGCGTTTCAATGGATTTTAATAACGTTGGTATGTACATGTAGTTTTTTTAAGTCCTGTAACGTTACAGCAATACGTGTTCCTTTTCGGGTGATAAAGCTACTGGTCGCAATACAGAATTGAATTTTCAATGTACCTGTATCATTTTAATGCATAATCTACTTATTCCATCAGCGTGATTGTAAGCCCAGTATGTCAAAGCCATGCACGACAATGTACATCGAAAAATAGTATGGCAACATTATTTCATTCATTTCCACTGTATGTTTTTATTTTAGTGTTATATGTCCACAAATGACGCCATGTAAATGTATGGAGTCTTTACGTATGAAATGTAAACGACAGATATATTCAGGGCCTAAGCAAAACTCACCGACAGTGTCTTCAAACTTGATGGTTGGTATGTCTGATGAACTGCTATTGACTCTGCTCACTGTAGGATATGGGGTTGTCAGTAGAAGAAGTCATAAACCGACAAATCTGCATGATTGATATGCAGGCCATATTTAGCTTCACCTTTAACTACACAACACGCATGCAGAGTATGCAGCAGGGTCGGCAAACCCAAGGCCGGACTTTCAAGCCACATGAGAGGTCACCAGAGACGCGACCCAGATAGTCTACCATAGACTGAACTACCAAAGAAGAAGAAGAAGAAGATTTAGCTGAAGATAACACTGGTTTCTGCTTAGGGAAGGGTTATTAATTTGTTTGTTCATACAAAAGCTCAAATGGGCCTTGCAGGCCGCTTTTCATTGTTATTGTTAGTAAGTTGATTTAATTTGTTGTTATGCCATTGCCATTAAACCCGTCACTATACCCCGTGAATGCTGGAGCCGTACAGTGTAGTAACGGAAGCTTTTTTTTATTCACTAGCACTTTAACAAGAACCGACGCTTCTATGACTGTCTGTCATCTTCATCACTCCAGGCAACTCTGGCAGACCAGACGGTCATCGAAACGTCGTCTCTAGATAAACATAAAGAATTGGCTATTCCGCTACTATACTGTGTAGTAACTTGTACATATATATCTGTATACCTTATTCCGTTGATGTACTGTGTAGTAACGTGTACATGATATATGTGTATACCTTTTCCCTCCAGTCTGTCGGCCAGCCAGGGGTGTTGCAGGCGGACGGCGTCACAGAAGTGGTAGAAGGTTGGGTCCGGCCGGGCAGGCATCACGTCCAGGACCCGCCGGATAGCGTCAGGCGACTCCAGCTTACTGATCTCACCACCCGTGGACTTAGTGATGCACTGGTGGAAAAAAAGTAACAAGACGATTAAGTTAAGATACAAGTGTATGGATTGATCTTACAAACCTTGTTCAGTTTTTTTAATTATTGTTAGGCCATGTTGATTTGATTATATGGGATGACATCCGCTAGGAACCCCAGGATGTCATCCACGCAATTGTAAAAAAAAAGTGTGGCAAAAAGCTGCGTTCATTATGAAATGACTGAACTAAAAGTATGGTATGGCGAATAACAGACTCTTCATTTTCGTTTCTTTAAATGTTTTCTTTTCATTTAGAATTGATGATGGCATTAGTATCGGTTTCCAGTATTTTTTTTGCAATGAGCAGCATATATTTGCTCCTTTTGCAGCTTTGTATGATTTACAGTATTGTCGAAACCAGTTTTTTTTAACGGACGAAAATTCATGCGCGCACGGATGCCATCCATATAATCAAATTAACGTGGCCTTATAGCTAGATGGTGTTGTGTTTGATGGGCTTATATTATTATCCAGAGTTTACATTTTAAAGTATTATTGAAAATACTTTTGTTGTACGTGTATCAGGTAAAGTAGTACTTGCCATGCTAATATTTCCCCTCTCTTGACGTAGTAACTTCAAAGATTTATATGGTTTGAAATTGAGAAATCTCTTGATAAAGCATTTACCCCTCATAGACTTCAGAGTATTTCTTTTGTTCTACATGTATCAGGTTAAGTCGTATTTGACATGCTAATATACCTACTCTCTTGACGTAGTAACGTCAAAAATATATATGGTTTGGAATCTATTGATAAAGTATTACCCCTCTAGCAACGAGGTGGTCCACCACTGGATACGGGTTGACGTGTTCGACAATAGGTTCCCTGTACTTCAGCAGCTGTTTCTTGTGTTCCACAGTCATTTCTGAAAGGAAGAAGGACAGTCAAAATCTCTCGATTCCCAACGGCTAGTTAGTATCATGAAAGTTCATCTGTGTCAGCAGTTACACAATATACCTGTTTAAAGGTAAAACGTTTGTTCCAACAGGTTTACCTTTAAACACATGACATCGTCCATTGCACATGCTAGGTATCTACATAGATCAACACTGAAACGTTTCAAAGTTTCACTTTGACAGGAATCTGGTCAGCGGTCGACAACAAGACAACTTACAAGATTCATTTAACAGCGTAAATTCCTACAATTCAACTATTTTTCATGCTTAGTAACAAAAACAAAACAACTTACCGTCTACAACATATCTTATGATTGGCCCCTACGAGAAAAAAAAAAGAACGAAGTTAAATTCGGTTTGGGAGAATAAGTACCAATAACTCCATACAATTTGAATCTGAACGAACTGTGGCATTCATTTCGTATTACCTTATAGGTTTTAGGGACGTTTTGGCCCCTTATATCTTTTATGTGGCAAATCGCCATGTAAAGATAACACTCTGTCCTCTTCGATGTGTGATATTTGTACTTCATAACCTCACTAATTCCAACTCTATTGTACGCTAACGTATGGTGCCAGGTGTTTTGCTTTTGGCCTTCAATCATAAATGTGTACTATTTATCATGTAATAAATCATCATGTAATGATATCATAACACTCTTACATTCTTGAGTATATGTTCACTTTTTGGCGTCGAACTCCAGTCATATTTTACACACACATTTACCTAGTACAGCGCAGTTTCTCTTAAGCCCTGGTCACAACCCGCCCTACATGTACGTGCTTTTTGTCCGTACGTTTTTTTGGTAGGCTACGTCTGCTATGTTTTTCTGAAAAGGAGTGGCGTTGACGCACGTCACTCGCACGTCACTCGCACGGTTGCGCAAGGTGTAAGAGTGTGGTCTGCACGCCGCGTCTGGCCGTGAGCGGTTGCGTGCATCGTTCGTTGCGCAAGTGGTAAGTGAGTCGTACGTGCTTACAGCGTACGATCTCTGTGCGATTGCACGTACTCGTTTTTGCACGTAGACAGCACGCAGATGCACGGACGGTGGGTTTGACCAGGCCTTTACGGAGATGAAAAACACCATTATTGTGTGAATCACGCACCTGTTTCCTGTCCTTCTTGACCCGTTTCCTGCCACAGCAGTGCCCGCAGCAGCAGAAACAGCAACAACAGCACAGCAGGAGCAGCAGTAACAGCAGGAGCAGCGCGAACAGGAACCAGAAGAACCCGTACAGCCAGACCAAACTGCCCACAGCTGGAAACAACATATACAGGATGTGAATTGCACATTGTTGAGATCTAAATAAACCAAACCAAACATTACATTGTTAAGGTGAAAGTATATTCTGTTTGAATCGACGTAACAACGCTTCTATCTTTTTATTTATTTTTTTCATTATTATTTTTATTGGGGCTAGAAGTGGCCGTGTTCAATTCTGTAAAGATATAAAACCATCAATACTCAAAATATAAAACCATCATAAACTATTCAAAGTGCAAGTACACTTTTTTGTATTTCTGCATCACATATATTATAGTGGCTATCTTTCAGTGGTACATGATATGGATCATTCCTTCATTCTTTAAGATTTTTAAAGATTATTCAAACATAAGGGTTCTAAAGCTTTTACCGATACGACTTGCAGCTAAAAAGGCGTTTGGCAGTGTCTTGCCCTGTGCTGTGGTAGTGTAAGGCCCTGAGTATGGAACCGCCTTTGGGCTGACCTAGGAGGTGGAAAAGGAATTTTCAAACTAGTATACTATTATTGTGGTTATACTTCAATCTTTTGTTATCATCATAAGTACGATTCTACTGCTTTCTGAATATTTAGTATTGTTATCAATATTATTATGATCACCATCATCGTCATATTTTCTATTACTAGTACCATTGTACAAGTACATGATTATCGTTTCTGGTTTAATGGTTCGTTCTCTGTATCTGATCTTTTTCTTATAAAAATCACTAAATTTCTTTTAAAAACAACAAAAAATGGATACATGTTAAGATTTGCATTACAAATAAAGCCCTAATGGTTAATTATGCCATGTTTCATAAGTTTTGTCACATTTGACATCAATAACAAGGGTTCGCACATTAAATGCCATTTCAGTACCAAGGACGGGACCACATAGCTGGTGTGAACATATTTTAATTGGTTAAACATGTGGTTTTGCCAGGTAATTTTCAAATCAATGACATACAATTACGCCATCAAGAACATACACAATTGTGAGCATGTTTGGTATCTAAACAATGTCCTATTTTAGAAACCATACTGTTTGCGTGTACAATCGCACAACGTTAAGAAGGAAGGTGTTTGAAAACACGCCCGCGACGCCCGGTCAACTGTATGCAAATACTGTCCTTATTTATAGTCCTTATTTGCACTGCATAATTTATTTACAGATGTACCTGAAAGTTGTAGACTGTTCCCGGATACAGATTTGGCACGATCCCAGAGACTTTTCCGTTGTTCGCGGTGTACGCTGGGTAGCCAGCTTGCGCCTGCGCAGATTCCTCTGGGTACAGTTGTACGTACGAGTATCTGTTCTCAGCCACTTCTCTCTTCTTCCTACCGTCATCCATTTCGGTCCAATACCTTCAGACAGATAAATAGGGAACCACTCATTACTCTCAGCTTGAAGCAAAACCAAGCTCTATTACAAATAAATATTTCGGTAGCCAACGCTTCCCTGTGACCACAGCAAAGCGTTCATACATTTTATAGTTTTCTATTTGAATGCAAGGTATTATTTTTCAAAAAGAAAATTTCCTTTTGGTCGACTTGTCTGATCATAACTGTTTTGTTGAGATATTTTCCAGTCCATTTAATGTTAATGTAGTATGGAGTACATGTAGAAGTAAATAGATAATCACTTTTTAAATGCAACTTAACTGTACAGTTGGCTCTCTGTCTGATCTCAACATTGTGTCCCTATGAACATGTCTCACCTGACGTTATAATAGTTCAGAACGCCCTGGTAGACGGGGCTGTCCCATCGCAACCGTGCCGAGTCGTTTGTAGTCCCGGTCACGGCCAAGTTTTGTATGCCTGGGGGAACTGTCAATAAAATGGATACGAATCATAGCCACAACTTGATACCAAGGTGGATTTTAACTTGGTTCTGATTCTTCTAGCAAAACTGACCGCCCCACCATATTTGTGTAAGTATATAGATTTATTACCGGTACCACTATATGGTGGATAAAGAGACTCTTTTTACACAACCAAGTATCTATTGCAGCGACACCTGTGCTATGCAATGTGAACCAGTCAGAATTGCCCTGAGGAAGGTGACAGACGGTCACCGAAACGTCGGCTGAATAAAAGACTTGGTTGTGTAAAAAGAGTCTCTTTACTCAGTGTCTTACCAACCTGGTGAAACTATTCACGAGTGTTAGTGCTGATTCTATTAGTAAAACCTACCACCCCACCATGTGTAAGGGTATGTGTCTATGGGTTTATTGCCACTATGTGTTTATGGATTTGTTAGGACTTCAGTTATGTAACCTATATCTGGTATGGTCCTGATCTCTTTCCTTAATGAAAAGCAGTCCATGGAGCGATTCGAGTATATGTAAAGGCTTAAGGGAATAAATAAACAAACAAACACGCAAGAAACATAGCAAACGATTTTGCTCTATAGAATAGCTAAAACTGGCATTTTGTGTTCAAAGGTAAGTAACCTACTACAGGTCGATCGAATCTGACAGCAAACAAAATTGCGGCATTCTTATGTTTTCCTTAAACATGAAACACCTGGTGCTATGCATCCTGGGAGTTTTACCCCTGGTGCTATGCATCCTGGGAGTTTTACCCCTGGTGCTATGCATCCTGGGAGTTTTACACCGGGCGCTATGCATCCTGGGAGTTTTACCCCTGGTGCTATGCATCCTGGGAGTTTTACCCCTGGTTCTATGCATCCTGGGAGTTTTACACCTGGCGCTATGCATCCTGGGAAAGGGAAAACGGTGAATTGTGAAGTAACGTACTTCCCGCCGAAGAAAAAACGGTCCATGATGCCTCGGGGCCGTCTCCGGCGGCGTTGAAAGCCCAGATGTTGGCCTCGTGAGGCTCGTACAGGCCTGCAGGAGGCTCGGTCCTGGCGAAGAAGCCGGCCTGGGAGTCATTAAACACCTGTTCTGTCCAGTCTCCCGATGGTTTAAAGCGGTGGCGGAGTCTGTAGCCCACCCATGGAGCGTTCCAGTCTTTAGGGTGTAACGGCTGAGGGGAAAGAGTGTGAAAATTAGCGATGGGCGATGAATGCACAAACAAAATAGTAATATCCGAATTGTCAAAGGAAGCTAACTGGACAAGGTAGTATACGTTTTGTAACCTTAGCTTGGTAAGAAAGAATGTAGATACTAGTGCTTAGTAGGCCATGTTGATTTGATTATATGGATGACATCCTCTGGTAACCCCAAAACTGATGCGAGCGTGCGTAATAAAACAAGTTTGGCCAAAAAAAGTTTCTTTCATTATGAAATCTACGTGGTTTTGAAGGTAGAACAAATGTATGTTTTGGCAAATAATCTTGTATTCAAATTCATTTCTTAACATTTTCGTCTTTTTCGTTTAATTTTGGCATTGTACGACATTGGTATGGTTTTCCAATGTTTGTTTAACTTACAGTACATATTTGCTAATTTTGCAACTGTTTTACAGTATGGTTGACAACTTTTTTTGAAAGTTTCAAACGGCCAGAAAATTCATGCGCGCGCGGATGTCATCCATATAATCAAATCAACATTTTTTTCACCATGTGATACAGAGGATTGTTATCACAACATAAGATGATTGACCATAACTTACATCCCATCTCATGACGGTGTCCCCAGCAAGTCCACCTCCTCCCCGAAGGTTCGTCGGGGCAACAGTTGGAGCTGGAAAAAACATAATAATTATTACAGATCCACTTTGTAACTGAAAACGTCTATACAGGGCTGAACATTTTTTGAGCTTTAAAACAAGAAATGGGTTTAAGAAGAACTGGTGGGGGGGGGGCACTGAAGATGGGAATAGCTCCTTAGGTGGCGTGAGTGTGATGACGATGTGTGACTCAAATATTGGGTATTCAATTGAACCAATGAATTCAACCTTTACGATCCGGCATGAATTCAATTGCGAGTATGGATTACTATTGTGATATTGGTGTTTAATGCCGTCTTTGTCTTGTATTGTCGTCTATATATTGTTACATTTACTTGTATATATGTACCCACGACGACTCAGTAAAACTAGTCCTAAGACACTGGGTATACGTAGTTCTACACAGTTCAAAGAACACAGAAATGAATAAATAGATAATGAATATCGTTGAAGAGGTTTATCGGTCACGTAACAGTTAGTAGAATATTCATCAATCAGTGACTGTTTTTGAAAGGTAGAAACACGTACCTCCAAATTTTTTATGTTAACTGTACATCTTGATCGCGAGACTAGGTCACTCAGTGATCAAGATGTACAGTTGACATAAAAAATTTGGAGGTACGTGTTTCTACCTTTCAAAAACAGTCACTGATTGATGAATATTCTACTAACTGATGAAAAATGAAGAAATGAATAAATAATGAATAAAAAAACGTTTAATAAATCCGGCAAAATTGGGTCTTCAGCAACTGAGAATATTATTTTTCTTTATACTCACGTGCTATCCCGGTGCATGCTCTGTTAGACTGGGAACTTGGTCTGCTGATGCCGAGGTCATTGATGGTCATGACCCGGAAGTAGTAGCAGGTCCAGGGTGACAGGTTCGTGAGTTTCAAGAGGGAACGCGTGTCCGGGTCTGGTGCTACATCAAGAGTAACAAAAAAAGAGGCTGGTCATTAGAGTGTTGTGACAAGACTCACAACAACTTCACAACTGTCGAACAATTTCATGTCAACAATTGTTCGACATTGTAATTTGTATTGTATTTATATTGTTGTGTTTGGGAGGACAACTTGTAGAGGTGTCAATACACCTGTTTTGTCCTCCCTTCCACTCGTATGTTTGTACTTGTGGTGAATTCTAATGAATAAATAAAAGACTATTACAACGATGTATGTCATTTTCAATCAAGCCCCTGTAACACATTCACGGAATTTTGCCTCCTGAACACCAGCCGAACCTTGGTTAGGAGTAGGTCGGCGCAAAGTCGGCAGGGTCAGCTGGTGAGGTCGGCTCTTTTCGACTATTAAAACATTTCGGGAGGGTGAGAGATTAGGCTATGGTTGTCTGGTGTTCGGCTGTAAGTCAGCAGCCATTCGGGAGTAGGCCAGTAGTGTTCGTGACGTGTTTATAGGAGGGTAAATTTGACTCAAAGTCAACTTAAATTCGTTTTCATTCTTATAGGCGTGGGCTAAATCTGGTCAGAGTGCTCCCAAACGACACCCAAACGTGGACGGCTGGTGTTTGGGGGCAATGTCGGGGGGGAGGTCCTGAATGTGTGACAGGGGCTTTAATGAGGAACTGTTTGGGCCACAGTGTAGTGAAGTTGCCCGAGCATGCGATGCAACACATTCATTCTGAAGGATGTTACCAAGTTAATACATAGGCTATCAATACATAGGCTATCATTTATCTATAGACAGCATTAAAGACCCTTTCAAAACAGTGCACTGTGATTCGTCTTGGAGAGATGTACATGTATTTTGAATTGAATTTCCCATTCGACTTTTCTAACATACCATTACGGTGATATCCTCACGTTTTGTAGCAAAAGGGCAAAAAGAAAATTGATTTGTACATAATGTACACTTTCTTTAAGAGCTACCTGATTGAAGCTCAGATATCGGTCCTCTCTGCACCTCTCTCCAGACGGGCTCGTGGTTCGACATGGCTTCCACGGAGTACTCGCTAGGCGGCGCCCCGTTATCACTAGACGGGTGCCAGAGAAGGTCTCCTGTCGTGGTGTCAAGATTGGTCGCCTCGACACCGACAGGAGGGTGATTTGGGGCTGAAAGCACAGTTAAGTTTTCTTTTGGAACCACCAAAGAAACTCCTTAATGATGATCAATTAAAACATGGTTTATTTTGTATGAATCAAAACGTATTAGGTATAATTATTATGGACAGTATACGTCCTGTTTTTGCTTTTTTTGCGTGGAAGGGCAACTTGTAAAGATGCGTATACACATATTTTGCCCTCCCTTCTACGTTGTAATAAACTCATATTAACAAAAAGGTTATATAAAATATACATAAGCGGTACAAAAGAGCATTATCATCATTCTATGCATGGTTGCTTTGGTGTATTTTGTCTCTGCATTTTCCACAACATACCTATGACGTTCACGTTGGAGGTCCCCTCTTCCTTGTCTACAGGTGTTTCGGCTGAGCAGGTAAAGACCGCGTCTTGGGCGAGGTATGCGTTTTTAATCCGGAGGCCACCACCTTCAACCTTACGGACAAAAATGGAAAAAATTATAAAAATGTAAATGAAATATCTATCTGAATATTTTCCCACTAATGTTGCACCTTAAAAATATTTGCTATAACCATAAGAGCATAACGTCCTACAGGTTGACTTGTTCTGTTTATGTGTGAAATAAACAAGCAAACAAACAAACAAAAAAACAACCAAAAAAAGTACCCCCGGCGTCCGTTTAGCAATTACGCCTTACAGCAAATATACCAGAGGTTTATATATAACAGTTCGTTCATAAAAACCAGACTCACAGCCTGTATAAAAACATGCTGAATAACACTACTGTTTATTTTACAATTACTTGTCTAGCAAATACAAATTAACATTGCAATACATATACAAACACACGAACAAAAACATTACCAAAAGCCTCACATGGGCACTAAAGTAAAGACCAGAGAGTTCAAAGAGTCTTACTGCGAAGACTCGTTGTACAGGCATATTGTCTTATGTAATAAATATGTAAGAAAGATGTCTCAATTTTGAGCTTATGATTCGGTTTTGAACGACGTCATTCAGTTACGTTAATATAATTTTGTTGACCGTACCCGCTCATAGTTTTCACTTTCAAGGTCAAAGTCGATCTTCTGTCCGTTCCTGTACCAGAGGTACTGGTGGTCCAGCCGGGGGTCAAAGGTCGCGTCACACGGGATGACCCCAGTGGTGCCTGTGTCAAGGGTCAGGTCCGTGGGGCCGCGGCCAGCCGGCAGGCGGGTAGGGTCTGTAACACAGAGTGGCAGTCAGGTCACACATTCACGGTATACCCCCGAATCTGTTCCTGAACACGAAATTACCGACTCTCCCACAATCAGTCAAGGCTCACTGCAGAAACCACAGACACTGCCGTCCCTGAAGGAGAGGAGAATGGCCGCTGCTGAGTCTCTTTTCAAGGCTATGCTGAGTCCTGAGCATCCCCTGCACGACCTGGTTCCTGCCAGAGACAGTCTGCCACAGGAAGAGCACTGAGGAACTGTCATAACATCACAGTTCCCTATGCACGAACCAAACGATTGCAGCAGTCTTTCCTGTATTGCGCCTTCAGACTTAACAATAACTCTCCTTCAATATAAACTGAACCTGACTTGACTGGATGCAATCAGTATGGACTTTGTGTATGTTTTAATTATTTTGTAAATACCTTATTTGTCTTTGAAGAAAGAAAGAAAGAAAGAAAGAAAGAAAGAAAGAAAGAAAGAAAGAAAGAAAGAAAGAAAGAAAGGTTTGGCTGACGTTCGGGAGTACCCTGACCGGTTTTAGAACATGCCTTCTGTACGAATCGGAACGAATTTGACTTAAATTGGAGTCAAATTTGACTCCCCAGCACGCCATGAAAACTGCTGACTTACTCCCGGATGGTTGGCCAACCTATGATCGAACCTTTCCAACGACTAACGAATGTTTTAAAATACTCCGCTGGTGAAGCCGATCCGTAGCCGAATTCGTCGAAATCCAGCCGACTTTCCGCCGACCAACTTCTAACCATAGTCGTCGGGCGTTCGGCTAGCGTTCGGAAGGCCAAATTCGTGAATGTGTGACAAGGGCTTTACCAATCGTACCTTGTGTGGCTTTTGAGCCATTTTGCTAAAGCCCCTGTCACACATTCACGAATCTTGAACTCCAAAAAACCATGGTTAGGAGTAGGTCGGTTCGAAACAACATGAAATAGTCATGAATAACTACGTTAACAAGGGTTCACACATGGGAAGCCGATTTCAGCACCAAGGACAGAACAACATTTGGTAGTCATGAATGACTACAATAACAATGGTTTACACATGGGAAGCCGATTTCAGCACCAAGGACAGGACAACATTTGATAGTCATGAATGACTACAATAACAAGGGTTCACTCATGAGATGCCGATTTCAGCACCAAGGACAGGACAACATTTGATAGTCATGAATGACTACAATAACAAGGGTTCACATATGGGATGCCGATTTCAGCACCAAGGACAGGACAACATTTGATAGTCATGAATGACTACTATAAAGAGGGTTCACACATGGGAAGCCGATTTCAGCACCAAGGACAGGACACCATTTGATAGTCATGAATGACTACAATAACAAGGGTTCACACATGGGATGCCGATTTCAGCACCAAGGACAGGACAACATTTGATAGTCATGAATGACATTAATAACAAGGGTTCACACATGGGAAGCCGATTTCAGCACCAAGGACAGGACAACATTTGATAGTCATGAATGACTACTATAAAGAGGGTTCACACATGGGAAGCCGATTTCAGCACCAAGGACAGGGCAATATTTGATAGTCATGAATGACTACAATAACAAGGGTTCACACATGGGAAGCCGATTTCAGCACCAAGGACAGGACAACACTTGATAGTCATGAATGACTACAATAACAAGGGTTCACAAATAGGATGGCGATTTCAGCACCAAGGACAGGACAACATTTGATAGTCATGAATGACTACAATAACAAGGGTTCACACATGGGAAACCGATTTCAGCACCAAGGACAGGACAACATTTGATAGTCATGAATGACTACAATAGCAAGGGTTCACACATCGGATGGCGATTTCAGCACCAAGGACAGGACAACATTTGATAGTCATGAATGTCTACAATAACAAGGGTTCACACATGGGAAGTCGATTTCAGCACCAAGGACAGGACAACATTTGATAGTCATGAATGACTACAATAACAAGGGTTCACACATGGGAAGCCGATTTCAGCACCAAGGACAGGACAACATTTGATAGTCATGAATGACTACAATAACAAGGGTTCACACATTAGATGCCGATTTCAGCACCAAGGACAGGACAACATTTGATAGTCATGAATGACATTAACAACAAGGGTTCACACACCAGATTCCGATTTTAACACCAAGGAGAGACCCTGATTTGAACAATGTTTTTGGTTAAAATACTAGCTTAACCATGTAATCTTTAACTCAGAGGTTTCTTTTAAAACCTGGCATACAAATTAGCCGTTAAAACATACACAGTTGAGCGCAAAGGCATATCATGTTCATAGGAACAGAAAATGCAGCAAGACAAAAATGCAGAGTTCTTGTTTAGCCCCCTTTTTCTATCTAAAAGGCATAAAAAGGTGGTGTTACCATCAGTTTCATACATGATTATCAGTACTATTTCTAAACAGGGAAACCGTGTTTTACCGGTGAGTATAAGGTTGCCATTCGACGTTGCAGTACCCCAGCGGTTCTCTAGGGTGCACCAATAATCTCCCTCGTCTTCGCTGGTGACACCATCGATGACCAAGTTCCCATCGGGAGTGATCGTGTACCTGACGTACGAAAACGACAAGTGAAAAATCAACGAATTGAAATTTTTGAAATTGTATAAGTGTGGGATAGTGTTATAACCTAAAAAATCAGCCTCCATCCCTTAACAAAGACGGGGGGCGCCACAGACTTTCTGCAGCCTATGATCTACTGCTCGCCGAGTCACGTGTGTCATCTACATAACATGGCGTCACAGAAGCGGTGGATTGTTCATTCCTTGACAAAGACTATAGTTGTACAGTCGAAAATTTGGGTGTGTCCAATTTCTTATGTTGGAAATTACAGTTTAAACATCCTTTATAATGACTTCTACCAACACGGATAAACTTATAAACTTTCACTACGTTTGATATGGGCGAATCGCGCCTCTTCGTTTCAGGAAACAAAGATGCAGAATCCATACATACTTTACAGTATATTTTCATGCTCTTTAGCTATATGTTTCATTTAACTACATGTTTTATGAACGATTTAAACGGGCATTTTGTAACATTTCTGCACCAAAAATTTATTCAAAACAATGAAAAACTCGTTTGACTAAAATTTACGTCCAATTTTCAACATATTTCTGATATTATCTCACATTTCTAACATTTACATTTGGTGGTAAACAGCCCACACAAGGTGCACTTATTTTGTGGCACCACCAAAAAATGCCAGAATGTAAACAAACATGACTGACAGCGTATTTCTACCTTTTAAACACACTCGTGCACATGTGAGATATTTTGGCACCTCCACTTCCTGAATGGCACTTCACTCCAGGACGTAGGGTTGATTCAACTTACTTTGTTAAGAAATGACGAGAAAGTTTACTTTTTGCATCATTCTATCTCTAATGTTACATAATGCAAGTTTAATCATCTGCTGCCGTGCAACCCTGTCCCATACTGACCTTCCCCCTGATGTGATAGGACGTCCATCTTTGGTCCACTTAAAGGTGGGTTCTGGGTCGGCCTCCCAGCGCGTTGTCATGGTAACGGTAGACCCAGGCACGGCGTAGTACGTACCGATGGGCGTCAGCCAGGCCGGGGTCACGTCTGAGAATAGAAACAGATGAGAAGTTGTTTTTTTTCTGTTACAACATCACATAACATGGCGACGGCACACTCTAGTTTTTTTCCACGTATTATTTATGCCGCCACCAACGCAGACAAACGCATGAAGGGACAACAGACATATTTATTTTCACACCTGAGTCAAGTGAGGAAATTCCTTTTCATTTCAGCCATTTGAATGTGAATACACGTGATCAGGTGTGAATACACATCCCACCGCCATCCGGATCCGCGGATCCCACTACCGCCATCCACGTATTTTTACGTAGTTTAGCCATCCGCGTACTTTGTAAGGAAAATGTGACCTAGTTTTAGCCATCCGCGTATTTTGAGGAAATACGACATAGATGACTACGACGTATTTTGTAGGTTCCTCGCTCGCAAAATGCTAGCATCTGGGCCGTGAACTACACATTAGCCTTAATTTCTTGTTAAGTACTTTTCCCAAGGGCACAAGATCGGAGGCATGGCAGGGTGCGAACTCGGGACCTCTTGGTTCCGAGACAAGCGCTCTGTTGTTAGCCTGGGTACCATCCGGATTTTCGCTACGCAACGCTCGAAAAAACCGAGCGTTGCGTAGCGAAAATCCGGATGGTACCCAGGCTACTGTTGTTACGCCACCCCATAAAATGTGAATATAATTGAGTGGATTCATTCTTCAAGCTACCCGACATCTTGCACACGTCAGTCCCTCAGTAAGACATCCGGAGTTCTCGTTTAGAACTTTTAAGTTTTATTCAGCCTGTTACACAGAAGCTAGCACACAATGTGCGTAAGTAACATTTGCACTTCTTACCTCCAATGTGCAGTTTCGCCGACGACTGCGTGGATCCCCACTGGTTTTGGGCCACGCATTGATAGCGACCAAGATCACTCGCCTGTAGAACATAGATAGAGGAATTTGACAGAAATCTAGCCATGTAGTAAATATCTTTTGTACTGTCTTTTACGTCTGTTGTGTGGTTTAAGGGAGTAGAATTTTTATACTAGATACTTGATATCATGAATGAACGTATTGTGGGCAAAATATGCATTTGTGTTTCCATGTTTCTTAAAATGAGAAAAAACGGTGTTTAACAGTAGATGATAATAAATAGGTTATAATATTGTTGTAATGCACAGACTTTTAGTACTTAGTGCTAGAATGTAGCGTTTCAGTGTTCAATCCTAGGTTTCATATGCTGTAGACCACATATGGTCACATATGAATTTAGCCCATTTGGGCAAGAATATGGAATAAAGATTATTCAGTCATTATATATAACTGACAATATAGGAAGATCGCTAAATGATAAAAGAACGACATTATCCAAAATTTTAATTCTTTATACCAATGTTTACATACCCTTAGATCATTGATAGTCAGTGTGTTCGCTCCCACCACTATACGACCGCCGGTCTGCAAGGGGTCTTGCTGGATACCGTACCAAGTGTAGGTAATAGGCTCAGACCCTGTGGCTTCACACGTCCAGCTTACGCTGGACCCCTCAACAAGGTCCCGGTCTGGTAGCGGCTGAATAACGGGCGGTGCTGAAAAAAATAAATGCTTTTTAAAAAGATCTGGGATTAGCTGGCGACGTGAGTGTGATGACAATGTGTGACTCAAATAATTGGTCAGATATCCAGGTGACTTGAATTGGACTAATGCTAATAAGACTGAATTTAGATGCTCTTTCTAACGAAGAGATAATTTGTGATAGTTTATTAGCAATTAAGTGCGGTAAAGAAAAGCGCCATTTCTTGTTTTACTCTGCCAGTCTTTTGCAGGGCACAGCACAGTAATAGGGCTTTCCTATGTTAATATATGGGAATTATGTCAAAACAACGTGGTCAACATTCATATACCTGAGTTTTAGACCTTGAAGAACATACATTGGCAGGGTAGGCCAACCTCTCAAGTCTCCATTCCCAAAAAATGACAAAATCCTACGCACCTAAACCATGCGAGAATTCTACCCAAACATTGAAAAGTGACCCCTGACCTCTCTGGACAGCTGATGACCGCATGTAAACCTATATCTTCTTCAGCCAGCCAAACAACACAAACATGGCTGCAAGTCTGTTTTTTCACCAAAATTAAAATACTACAATCCTTACCTATAACATCCAAGTCCAAAACAACAACATTTCCCTAGAAAAAGACTTCTTTACACTCTACATTACATTGCCATCTCTATATACTAAAACTGGGCCCTCTGCGCCTGCGCTATTACTAACCTTTGCCCTGCATTAGACCACTATCCCTAGTTGCTTCTTTGGTCGTTTTGCCGTTAATATACAGGTTGCAATATCATAAAATTGTCAAGAACCAAAGAAAATTGATAAGGTTCTTCAGAAGCTACGAGAACATCATTGTTTTCACCTCTGACTATTATGTTCGCCTCGGTGACTGCGGTCCCAAAACTGTTCTCTGCGGTACACCTGTAGATCCCAGAATCCTCTTCGGTCACATCCGGGAGAATGAAGATGTGGTTCCAGTTGTGGAAACGAGATCGTCTCGGGAGGGCGACCTCGTTCCCAAAGTCATCCAGACGTGACCAGTAGATGTCTGGCCGCGGGCTGAAATAGATAGTGGTTATTCTTTTATATATATGTAGCATGTAAGAATTCATATTCTGTTAATGTTTGATGGAGAAATCTGTTGGAACGGAGTGAGGAGCCAGCCACTGGTCTAAGCACTATGAAGGACAGGACACGATTTCGAGCTACTTTGAAATATATGATAAACATCTAAAACGTAAACTATAAAAAAATCACCCATTTGAGTTTTAGACCATGACAAGCATACATTGACAAGGTAGCCCGACCCGCCAAATTGTCCATTTAGTCCAAAAATCCTAAATTTCTCACGACATAACGTGCTTCGTTGGACCAAAACAAACTGTCGTGAACTATGACCCCTTCAATAGCCTCAGACTATAGGCAAACAGACCAACTTCTAGTTCTGCCTGGCAGTTCAAACAAGCCTTAAAGCCAGCTTTTCAACAAAAGAAAAAGAAAAATGTCAATATTAATCAACATATACTACGAAATAGCTGGTTTGCGGGTACTAAAAATGTGGTCTCTGAGCGTGCGCGAATAAGTGAACTTTGCTCGGAAGACATCGAAAGCTTATAATTTGGAATTATCTTACTATCCATTGGCAAAACAGTTCAGCGTCTCCGTCCCTCCTTTCAGTACGTCTTCGTCTTCAGCATTGAGAGCGATGGTTGCTGCACTTTCTATGGGATCTAAGACAAAGAAAAGACATGCTTATCTTTGAATATATACTAGTAGGTATAAGTTGATTCATCTATTGTACGTAGGCTATATCTCTCTGTATGTCTGCATGTAGTTAAAGAGCTTAGGAAATTCGCTGTACTTTTGTTGTGTCAATAAAGTTCTGTCCGTAATCTGCCACTTAAGGCGCGGTCACATTTCCCAACCCGGGGCCCGGCCGGGCAGTCGTATGGTATAATGATATAAGACAACAAAACATAAAAAAGTTTTAGAAAAATAACAATGCGCACTATTTGAGTATACTCTTAATACAAATTGTTTATTTTTCGTTCACGCAAACAACCCGGCCGGGCCCCGGCTTGGAAATGTGACCGTGCCCTTACCGCCACTTGAGACCGTGAGTTTGGTGGGTTGGCTGGTCCGGACGGAGATGTCTGTGTCGTCGGGCGCCGTGTCCATCACGTTCCGCACCAGGCAGTAGTAGTCCCCGCTGTCCGTCTCAGTCACGTACGAGAAGTACAGGTCGCCCGTCTTGTCCGAGATGAACACACGGTGGGTGTTGACGATGATGTTAGAAGGACTGTCTCTGTACCAGCTAAAGGAAAGGCCTGCAGACGAAAGGGTTTTTACAATATTTTTTGGCTACGCCTCAGGTGCGGGGCATTTTTAAGTGCAGGATTTACACATTGCAGTGTGTTTACTACCCTGGAAGCCAGAACTCGTTTTCCGGGCCGCAAAAGCCCTTCGCCCGCTGGTGTAAATTACCGCTACGGGGGAGTCTAGCCCGGGGGGAGTTTGACTGGCCCTACAAACGTAATAGGGCCGGACAAACCCCTCGGGCTCAACTCCCCCGTAGCGGTAACTTAGGCAGGCGGGCGAAGGGCTCTCGGCTGCCGAAGGAAAACGGCTAACGGCCCGATACTAGTTTGGCATCCAGGGTATGTGTTCACTGAATAACGTACAATTTAGAAAGTCTAAAAAGAGTCAATTTGTTGCAAACAAACGGCATTTCACATAGCATAACTTCTCAGTTCTTATAAAATAATATTGCAATCTTTATCAATAACTTGACTAAACGGACGCAACACAACAAAGTTTACAAAGTGGTAGATATTCAAATGTTACAATAAAAGTATTCATATCAGTTCTGCTATTGTGAATTACAGCAGATTCAAACATTACATTATATCTACACATCAAATATTGACAATTACCTGGGTACGAGTCTGGTGGGTTACACTGTATAAAGGCTGACGCCCCGGCCTGTAGAGTCATTCCATTCCGTGGTGACGTGTCAAAGGGATCAACAACTGTGAGGAAACAAGACATGCATTAAACAATACTGGCAATGAAAACATACATTGCCATGGCGACGGTGGTTGCTGTTAGGGTTATTGTTTGCATGGCACTGCCATCATTTCATGATTTTGAGGAAGACTTGGTACCTGTTAAGTCTAGACAGATACAGTGCACTCCTCCCCTGAGTGTATAGTGAACGAGCCCCGGGGTCACAGAAAGTAGGGCCATCTGGGGCAGAGAGGTCTTCCCAGGGGTTTCCAGGAATGTGGGCATAGATGTAGGTCAGAGACATGCCTGTGGACATTCCATGCCTGTACCATTCCTAGAATTCTTGCAAACTGCAAACAATACTGCACCATTTTCCCTGAGACGTCGCCAAAAACTATCAGGGGGCCAAGATAGAATTTTAGCATTTTCTGGTAATTATATATATATTTGTATTTTAGGATAGGATAGAGTTGACCGGATGCAGACGAATGGATTCGATTTGATCCGGCTTAGATTCAGATCGAAACCAGATTGAAGCCGGATCAAATCACATCTATTTGGCTTGATGTGGACATTTCCATCCTAGTAGGAAAATGGCCCAAGAGTCCAGCGTCACATTGCCTTTCTCTTGTTGTTTTGAAATTAAAAAAAATAGCTGGTTGGCCATGGATGGCACGAGTGTGATGACAATGTGTGACTCAAATAATTGGTCAGCTTCAGGACTTGAAGTGGACTAAATCTACGAACAGTTTTGCTATGAATTAATTCCCTACTTTGCCATTAGGCCACAGCAAGTAAATGTTATGGATAACATCCTCCGCAGACTCCAAATCCAATGCGAGTGGGCGAAAAAAACACAACAAAGCGGGCCGAAAAAAGCAAGGTTCCTGCATTTTAGAATTTTGACTCAATCATTGTACAAATGGTTTTGATTCAGTGGGAACATCACATATACACAACCAGCATCACATATCACTGCATCAAAGTAAGAAACAAAACATTAAATCAGAGCCTTTTCTTGTCTCCTCTCTTCATATTTATCTACCATCCATCTTCCGGCATGGCAACAGACATATTTGCCCATTTTAGGTATGTTGACCACTGTCAGAAGGCAACAAAAATTCTTGTGTTTTTTTTCCAAAATCAGACGAAAATTAATGCGCGCGCTCATGTCATCCATAAGAATTACTTGCTGTGAACCACTTTTAAAACTAAATAGAGGGACTAGTGTTACGTACAGGCAAAGAACAGGCTAGCAGGACTGCCGACTTCCACGCCTACGTCATTCCTGGCCAGACACTGGTACTCTCCCTCGTCATCACTCTTGGTGGGACTGTTGATGATGAGGTCACCGCCAGTGATGACGTACTTTCCGTTTCCGGCGGAAATGTCCACCGGCACGCCATCTCGTTCCCAGGAGTACTGAGGGGGAGGGTCGCTCTCGGCCTGACACTGGAAACGCACGACAGTCTGTCTCGGGTCTTGCGGGTTGAAGACTTGTGCGGTCGGGCTCAGGGTGATACTGGGTTCGAACTGCGCCCAGACCACTGTATGAGATAGGAAAATTTCAATCGAAGGACATACATTGAAGCAAGAACGATAAAAAAGTAGATTTTCTGGCAATTTCTTTACAAAGTCGAATCACCCCACATTTTGGTATTTTGTGGCGGTGTCACAAAATGAGTGCACCTCGTGTGGGATGTTTAGTAACAAGTGTTATGTTTAAGCGGCAACCATAATTGTCAGAAATGTGGGATAATGGCACAAATATGTTGAAAAGTGGACGGAAATAACAATCACGTCAAAAATTTACATAAATGCTACATAATGCAGCTTTAATATTTCTGAGTGACAATAAACAGATTGTTTTCAATTATTACCAAGTGTGCAATCAGACGATGGCGGAAGGATATTCCAATGCAAAAACTCCGTAATCATTTCTTACCTGCCGGAAAAAATAGTATCACAAGAAGTCCTTCCAGATGGAGTGTCATACTGACTATTGTGTCCCAGACTCTATTGGAAAAAAGAGCACATTAAAGGCCTCCAGTGCAATTTCAGGGCGGCAAAACAAAAATATTCTGGATGACGAAATTGGTATGGTTACTATGGTATCATCACTTCATACTTGAATCGTTTGAAATTGCCCAAAAATAAGCTACGTGAGGCCTCCCTTTATTTTTTTGGTACCGCTAGCTAAAACCACGATACAAAAATAAAAATCAATCAACTTTTCCGTCAGTGACATCGCATTCTTGCCTCACAGATATTAGTATGATATTGGGTAGGATTCAACTTACTACATTTAAAAACAAATGACAAGAAAATTGACTTTGAAAGTCCAGTTTTGCTGCTTTGAAGTCGCTAGATTTTATGCATCACCAGGTGGCATTAGCACGACTTTCCTCACTTTATGCAGGTGAAAATGAGTAACTAGCTTCGGTTAGGGGCGTCGCTCGGAAAGGACGTTAAATGGAGGTCTTTGTTACCCCGTGTTTGGGGAGAGGCACACCCCACCCATGATAAAGAATCCACCGCACTTATCGAAAATAGTAGTGGACCTTTCCGGTGCACGTGTGAGTGGTTCAAACCTTACTACATGTCTTATGGCCGAACCTGGGATCTCATTGAGGTCAACTGTATTTAGCGCCAAATGGCAGCCGCTCCAGACACTTGCTATTAAGCCCCACGAATTGTAAGCTCCTCACAATTCAGCCCTTGGCTACAAGGAGAGAGTAGCCGGCCCACTGATACTCAAAAAGGAAAAATAATTTTTATTCTCATTTCCTAACAAGCTTAAGTAGCTGTGGTCTTTGCTTATTATCATGCTGGCCCACACCTCATGCTTATCCCTGTGTGATCGTCAGTAAAGAAACATGATCAGATTAAGTATGTTTCGGATATTCTATACTCTCTACGTTTGTAGCCAAGGCGCGACCACCTACTGATTGCTTGGCATTTTGACCCATTTGTGTGTGTGATTGTATCTTTTGTGAGCCTAAAACCCTGTAAGTCTTGTTGCATATCCCCCAACACTTGCCTACAGCCGTTACCTCATAGCTTAGGAATGTACGCCCATACCTTTCTGTGTAGGTATACTGGCATCATATGAATGAGTCATCTTCAGATAGAAGAGATAACCACTCGTCTATTGTATCTTTTAGGTGCATTATACCTACATTTTGGCGTCGGTGGCGCAACGGTTAGAGCGTTGGACTTGGAACCGAGAGGTCCCGGGTTCGATACTCACCGTGGCCTGGCGTTGTGCCCTTGGGAAAGGCGCTTTCTATGACTTCCCCACCTATACTGTGGAGTGACGCCCACCGAGCCTCTTAGGCTAATCTGTCTAACTGTGTGCCAAAAATACACTACGGATTTGGTGCGCCGATGTGACAACATCTGCACATTGGCCACTGAGAGCGGTTAATTTTTTTTTTGTACCTACATTTTCTATCTAAAATCTATACAGAAGTTGACATCGTAAAATATGATGACCTTGGGTTGGCGTGTAATGAATTATGCATGTTCAAGGTCAAAGGTAAAAGGTTAGAGTTTGCTGTCAACTGTAATTCATCCAAGTACAAAGAGTAAATGTATCGAGGGGTGATTTGGAGTTGCAGTTCTTGATTAACTCACGACTATCACAATATTGTATTCTACCAAAGTGTTGATTAATTTCTTAACAAATAGTTTTGTTTTCTTTCAAATTCTTTGTGATTTTTTGGGTCGGCCCTAGCCCCCCACCCCACCCCCATGATGCTTCACGGTTGGTCCCTAATGACTGTCTGAAGGTCACGAGTATACGTACAAAACATATTGTTTGTTTATATTGAAATCCCTTTGTATTGGTTTTTCCTGCTGGCAATGGCAAATCATTTGTAATTAATGATCACGTGTAAAACTGGTAAACCTCTCCCAAAGACAAACATAGACATTTTCAATCTACTTATGTCATGCCCCGACTCCATATCTACGTGCTTAGGCCAATATATATATGTAGTGTATTACAAGAGAGAGAGAGAGAGTATTGTAACAGATAGCAACGCCTAATTCACATCATGTCATACGCCATTTACGTTCATATTCCTGTAGTAATACTAGCAGTCTCTTAGAATAGACTTGATTGTATTGATCACATTGCTATTGATGCCATACATTGTACCATGTACAACTGTCGAGCAATAAAGTTCATTAATTTATGATTAATGCTAGCCGCTAGTACTGGTCACCCTCCACGGACAAAGCCTTTCCTCTTTACTTCTTGTAGACGCCTGATTGTACAAACTGTAATCACAACATGTAGTAATTATGTCAGGTACGTTAAGACTCCGTCCATTTCCCAAAGTGTAGCGTACGCGGTTTATATATAGAATTGAGCCTGAAGCTAGATATCTGCACGCATGTGGGGTTCTCTCTAAACAGAGGTCTAATTTTTCACGTTTTCAAGGCGTTTTTATCCGTTTTCATAGTATTGGATACTCCCTCAATGATACGGCCTGGCCAATTTGGTTCTGTCTTGCAGCCACCAAAACATCTGCTTGGAGATTCAGAGCATGGGTGTGATTACTAAACAAAAACGTAAGGTGGTAACAACAAAAGGACAACAGTGTTAACAGTATATTTTTCTCGTAAGGAGATTACATGATCGCAATCAGTGGACTTTGACAATGCAGGGCCACACATTGTAATCGCTAGACCATCAGAAATATACGTACTAGGCATTCGTCGGTCTTAAAAGACCATGAAGTACTTCATCTACACCCTGTACTTATTCTTATTTTAAGCGTGCGTAAAAGACTTCTCTGTATCTGTCAGAGGTTTAACTATGAATCATATATTATTTAGAGAATTCTTTGATATTACGAAGAGACAGAGTTCGTCTCGAATCTCCCCAGAATAGCTGAACTTTTGTTGTGTGTTTCTGTATAAATATTTTGTCAAAAGTATCATTTATTATAGGAATACTTCTTTAGCTATACATGTTTATTTATTTATGTATGAAGCTTTAACACATTTGTGAAAGGGTTGACATAACAGGTGACTATCACATCTTCAATATGTCAATCCTGAAACCAGACAGTAAGGTTTGAACCACTCACACCGGGAAGGACCCCTACTCTTTTCGATAAGTGTGGTGCGCTCTTTAACGTGCTCGAGGTCTAGGTCTCCTTAAACACAGGATCTCCGCTTTACGTCCAATCCGAGAGGACGTCCCTAACCGAAGCTAGGTACTCACCTGAGTCGAGTAGGTGTAAAGTGCCTTTCCCAAGGACACGACAACGGGGCCTGCCCGGGATTCAAACCCAGAACCATCGGATTCTACATGAATCAACAACCCTAACCACAACAAGACTATCTTGCCACCCAAAATTGTAAATCTTCATTATCTTTGGACCCCACGACAGTTAAATTCCATCCCTCAAAGGATCCACTGAACCGATCTGTGTCCCCCGGCACGGAAACATGTAACCGTGCCTGTATGTTGTCGTTGGGTCAAGGATATTGCAAGAAGAATGTCTGTATATGTGAAAAGCTGGTGTTAAAACCCTTCAGCGTGACACAAGCTTTGCAAGCGGCTGCTAGGAAAGCCATATTCGGCCTGTCACTCGAATAACATTATATAGGTCTTAGATTGTATCTGGCCTTCGCACACTTACATGCAAATTGTGTTAGGCCACACCAAGTAAATTTTATGGATGAAGTCCTTTGGAGACCCTAAATCTAATGCGAGAGGGCGAAAAAAAACAAGAAGGGCCCTAAAAAACAAGATGCCTAGATTAGAAATATTGCACTGCTGACAGGACCGTCCTGTCAGCAGTGCCGTTTTTGGAACTATTGACAGGATTTTTTTCAGTGCCTTCTTTTCTTTCATTTTTGTTTTCATTTTTTAACCAGGCACAGGCTTTTGGCGTTACGGGTTTCACGTCAATCTGACAATTTGCGGCACTTTCTGGCAATTTGGTCATAGTTACAGGAAGCGAAATTTTTTGTTTTTTTTTCTAGTTACAGGCCAAAATCAATGCGCGCGCGGACGTCATCCATAAAATTTACTTGGTGTGGCCTTAGTTAGACCAAGGACAAATAGATCAAAGAATGTTTAGACCTTAGATGTAGTACTATACATGTACTAGTTTTATACATGTACTTAGTTAGTTCACTTGTTTGTATTTCTAGGCGTAGTAGACCTTACGAAAGTCGCCGTACTTTTTGTTGCGTCAATAAAGACTGTGTGTTTGCATGATGTCCTTACTTGAACCACAACGGAAGATGAACAGCGCTAGCTTCCCTAAAGATTTACAAAACATCCCCGTAACTTCACAAGAATTTCACGGCAAGGTCGAATCCATCTGTCTGTGTCAGATCACCAAGGTGATGGCAGTAACTGTAGAACTATAAACATGGTCTGTGTCCGTTAATTACATTATCTGAATCAGCACTCTTTCTTGTAAAACACTCATTATAAAATCGTAAACGGATGTTTGGCATTTTTGTTCGTTTTACTGGTTTAGTGTCGTAAAGAATACGTCTTAAAATGTATAAAGTGACT